TTGGTAATTTGATAGGGATTGCATCAAATCTGTATACTGCTTTGGGCAGCATGGCCATTTTGACGATATTAATTCTTCCTAGCCAGGAGCATGGGATGAGTTTCCATTTGTTAGTGTCCTCTTTAATTTCTCTTAAGAGTGTCTTATAGTTTTCAGGGTATAGGTCTTTCACTTCCTTGGTTAGGTGTATTCCTAGGTATTTTATTCTTTTTGATGCTGATGTGAATGGAGTTGTCTTCCTGATTTCTCTTTCTATTAGTTTATTTTTAGTGTATAGGACAGCCACAGATTTCTGTGTGTTAATTTTGTATCCTGCAAGTTTGCTGAATTCCAATATTAGCTGTAGTAGTTTCGGAGTGGAGCCTTTAGGGTTTTTTATGTACAATATCATGTCATCTGCATCTTTTTCAGGTTTTCTATCTCTTTGTTGACGTCCTCCCTGAGATCTTGAATACTTTTCTATAAATCGGTGAACATGTTTACAACGTTTATTTTGAAATCTTTATCAGGAAGATTGGTGATCTCTGCTTCATCTAGCCCTCTTTCTGGGGTTCTGTCTTGTAGTTTTGATTGTATCAAATTCCTCTGCCTGCTCATTTTGTCAGGGATTCTGTGTTTCTTCCTTTGTATTAGATGTCTCTGCTATGCTTTCTGGTCTAAAGAATAATAGCTTTATGAAGGTGTGCTATGGTGCCCAGAATCTCAAGATTCTTTACTCTATAATGCCTGGTTCTGTTTTGTGGGGGTCTCAGTTGTTGGCATGGTGTGGGTGGTACACCTTTCTATCTGGCTTCCACTATAGTGGTCTAAGTCTGGGATCGAAGTCTTAGCTCAGGAATCTCTGTTTAGCTTACTGTGGGCGGGGCTACCCTGTGCCTGTCCTGCAGCAATGGTGGGGCTGCAGAGCTAATGGGGTGGGCAGACCAATGTGCCCCAGCTGGACACAGAGCAATGGATTTGGTCACTGCTCAGAGAGAAAGAAGCTCTTGGGGTTGGCTCCTATAGCACCTCTCTGATTGGGCTGAAATGGAGCCAAGCAAGCTGGGAGAGTCTCCCTCCACCTGCCAGGCAGCAAGGTCTGATGATGCTGCTGGGCCAAGTGGGTTGGGTCCCAGCAGCATGCAGGGAGTACCTTGAGGTTACATTATCAGCAAGGGGGATGGAGTGTCTGGAGCTCCTGAGATTTCCCAATCTGTTGGGGTAAGGGTTGGGAGGTATCCTCCATCTGCCTGTTCTCCTGAAGAGAGAGTTCTGCCCAACCTTTATCACCTCTGGTACCCCTCCCACGGCTGGCAAGTCTTTCAAACTGCTGGGATGTGCCTGCCGTCCACACTGGCTGGAGTCTCAGCCTCCTAAAGCATTCTGATTGTCCCTGGTGTCCAGCCCCACTGATCACTAGAACCCAGTGTAATGTGGGCTCATGCTCCTGGAGCAGATCTCCAGGGCCAGATGTGCAGCCCTTCAGGGCTCCTATCCCCTCCCCACTCTCCGCTCCTCTGTGTAGGCTGGTGTTGGGGGAGGGCTTGGGTCCTCCTTGACCTCAGCTTTGCTGCCTCACCCTTCTCTGTGTGGTCTTCTCTTCTTCCTCAGGTGTAGGGGGTCTGTTCTGCAGTCTTCAGGTTGTTTTCAGTTCTAGTTGCATTTGCTATATTTTCCTCCCTTATGTATTTATAGGCGGATGCCATCATATTCTGCCATCTTTAATCTGATCTACAGTACTTATCTCTTAAGCAGCAGGATATTGCATGACTTTCTATTTTCTTCTTTGTGTTTTCCATATTGCCTAATTTGTTATCACTGAACATGTATAACATGTGCAGATTAAATAAAGCTATTTTTTGTTTAAGTACAAAAGGATTTATTATAGGGTATAAAATGATTTAAGGACTTATTTGGAGGGCTGAAGCAGCTCTCCAGGTTGAATGTTCAGGAATGATTGTGAGCTGTGGTGCAAAGCCAGGCCACCAAAGGAGCCACTGCCTCTTCTGACAACCTGGAAGCCACAGACTGAGTTGGAAAGCTGCTGCTCCTGAACCACGTAGCTAGTGTCATGATAAGAAGCCACTGCAGAAAAATCAGATCCCTCCACAACCTGCCTCACCAACAGACACAGCACACACACAGGCCCTGCTTCACTTCCACCTTACCAAACCAGAGAGAAAATTTGATTTTAAGAGCCAAAATTGCATCCAGGATCCTAGCTATAATAATATCTAGGAAATGCAGTTGTAGCCTTTCAGCTTCTGAAATACAGGAAGGCACAGTAGACACTGGGCTGGGTATTGAGCTGAACTCACCATATTCATTCACCAACTCAGCAGTGCAGGTATCTATCATATCTGCATTCTATTGCATTGAATGATGGGTTTTTATTTTCATACTCCCCTCATCTGACTTGGAAAATATGCATTCTGTTTCTGTTCTTATTATGGTTAGCCTAATCATTTTAATTTTTAATCAAATCAATACATGTGAATTAAGAATAGTTTTACAAGGCCTATACCTTTAAAAAGAATTCCCAATTCCCTCTGTAAATATGTCTATCCTGCCGTCTTGTGATTCTTTTTTCAGTTTTTGGTATTAAGTATTCATTTTCCACTATGAAAAAGGAGGCATTACCTATTGTGTGCACCCAACAAAAATATGATTTTCCCTGCTCTGTCTTTCAGTGTAGTTATGTGATAAATTTGGTAAGTCCGTATCAAGTATTTACATAAGGTACTATATAGTTCCATTTTTGTATGGTTTTTATTTTGGAGTTAAAAATGTCCCCATTTTTTATTTCCTACATTTATCTCGACCTTTTTTTTTTTTTGGTATCATTAATCTGCAATTACATTAAAGCTATTTTTTTAAGAAATGGTATGGCTTATGTAAGTATGGAGGTAAAAGCATTCACTTTTAACCTTGCCATGGCAAATATATTTGGTGTTCTTTAAGTGGGAACACCATATTTTCAATGTTTTTGTAGCAATTTACCCTGAAAACAGGTAAATTTATATTTAGAGATGAAAGGACACTGTCAAGCCAGCAAATGAAGCTTTACTCTAGTAAAATTATAGCTTACTTTATTATTTGACATCAAAAAGAATCTTTTGTGAGACTCTAAAAAACCCATTTTGTAACTATACTTATGATGATGATAGGAGCAACCACTTACTATAAATCAGATGCTGTCCTAATCATATGTATTATTTGTCAAAACAACTCTAATGAGATAGATATTACTGTTATCTATATTTTATAGATAAAGAAACTAAGACTTAGATGTTAGAACACTGGTAATCTGAATCCAGGCAGGCTCTAAAACATCAAACTATAAGTAAATCAAAACAATTATCACAACATTTTGCCTATAGATACAGAATATTATGATAGCGCAAGAAAGTCCCAGAAATGAGGTTACTAATGCAAGGACTGCCCATCCCCCAAGAAATAAAGAATATCTATGCACATGTTTCTATGTATACTCACATTTGTATGTGTCTATTTATGAGTCCTGATGCCAAATATAGTAGGAACTGCTTGAAGTCAACAAATAATAACCCTATATTCCCAATTCTGACTTAAACACAACTTTTAATAAACATAATCATTAACTCAAAATCAATATCAAAATAACAGGCTAAGGCTTTATTGCAGAAGTGATCTAACTTACTGTATCTCATCTATTCAAAAATATTCCTGGTGTAAGTTCTAGCTTGGATATTATATAAGGGAGAGTGTTCCCTGATATACCAAAAGAATCTTCTTATATTTTATTGCATCAGTGATGTAAAGTCTACTCAGGGTAATGAGTCCAGCTATTTACTACATAAGCACAATGAATGATGTTCTACGGTCAACTCACTAATATTTTGATATTACATAGTCTGAGTCTTTTAAATTATTTTAGAGCATTTTATTTATGCTCTAAATGACTCAACCTAGTAATGGCAACAATCAGAATACACTAGCTTTGGATTCTAGTTATATGTTGTGATCTTTTTTTATGTCCCTCAATCAAAAAGACAAACCACAAAAATCCACCAATTGCTACAAGATGAGCCTGATATCTTACTGGATGCCTGTGTGGTTAATGGGAGTAACAGTTTCAGAATTAACTACTGCACCACTTCCCCTACATTCACTGAACTTTTTGGCACTGGTTCTCAGATTTCTGCTGTAGCCTAAGTCCTGTATTATCTTAATATCTGCATTTCTGTGGATGACTTATTTAATAGTCTAGCCTCATAATTCTTTGACTATCCAGTGACTATTCACTCCACTCCATATAAGCCACCCACTTCCACAGGCACATCATTGTATGGTTGGTACCTAATACAGTGCTCAATAAATGTGTAATAGATGAATAAATGTGAAGGAACTAATTTGAACAGATACTGAGTACTGTGCTACCACAGGTAAGAACCAATTTGTGGATAGTGAGGTTCATATAGAAAAGTAATAGTAGATCCCACTTGTGACTACTTCTTATAGAAGTACTACTGGCTATACTTACAGGTCTAGGTAGGGCCAGGTTTGCTCCATACCAATGATAAAGTGCTCTCCACACAGGTTCTGGGACCATTTCATAATCTCGTCCATGAATCAGCTGAGGGGTTCGTTTTAATCGTCCTCCTTCTAGTGTTAATGATGTAGCCTTAAAAAGAATGGAATGCAAATGTTGATTTTTTATATTACAATCTCATGTTTTAACAAAACCTAGACACAGGAGAATAAACACATATGTCACTACTCAGTTTCATGTTAGTGGAAAAAAATGAATTTAAAAAATTTTAACTTTTGAAATAAATTATTTAAGAAGGGGAACTCAAGGCAACCTATTTGAAAAAAATCATTGGAGCATTTGAAACAATAAGACTGTTTTTCAGATTTCTTTCAACTAACAGAGAATACTATTTTTGGAAAAAAAATTCCATAAACATGTGAAACTACATTTTCATAGTAGCTTTCCTAGGTAAGAATATCATTTCCAAGGATCACTACACTGCAAGTACTACACCATAAATATTCTCACAGAAGCGTACTATGCGAAGTGTACTATATTCTATCCATCCAGAACAGGTTAATTAAATGAACCTCTAATGTTTTGCTATGTGCTAAAACCTCTAGGATTAATTTATTAGCAACTTGAAAGAGAATGATTTTAAGTAGATGTCTAATTACTTTCAGTGACAGAAAACACTATTTTTGGAAAAAAATCTATATACATGTGAAACTACATTTTCACAGTAGCTCTCCTAAGAACATCATTTCCAAGGATCACTACACTGCAAATACTACACCATAAATATTCTCACAGAAGCGTATTATGCGAAGTGTACTATGTTCTATCCATCTACAACAGGTTAATTAAATGAACCTCTAATGTTTTGCTATGTGCTAAAACTTCAAGAATTAATTTATTAGCAATTTGAAAGAGAATGATTTTAAGTAGATGTCAAATTACTTACCTTTACTGGCTCTTGAGTTACTAGTGGCTGGTTATCAATAGCCCCTGGTTTCTGAGGATTGAGGTGTAATAATATATTCCCATTGGCTCCTAGCACACACTGGTTATTATTGTCAGAAGTGTTATGTTGTCGAGCAAAGCACGTATCTGCCCCTGGTGTGGCAGAATACAGAAAGCCTGTAAGGAAAAAGAGGATGGAATCTCTTTATTTTTGGTTATTGTACATAATAGGATTGAAAATAGTGTCCATGTATTAGGTTAATGCTATTATTGTGTTGGCATTATCAGTATAGTGTCAGATTCTGATAAATCTGTAGAAGATAGAAAATACATATATATTCCTTACTGGACAATACCTAGCATAATACTAGGAGAATAACAGCTCTAAAAATTGTTACCAAATGAACATTTGGCTAGCCTCCTAGAATATCTAATAATATACAACAAGAATTAGTATGTTCTCTGCTAGGAAAGGCAGAAGTATGGCCACATAGCTGGGCTCTCACATAGTCTCTCTTAATTCTTCTCTTCCACCTGCAAACACATTCCAAATGTTTTTGGTAGATGACAATGAAAATAATTCTCTAAACCAAAGCAAAGGAATTAAAACAAGAATTCCCAACAGAAGAGTGCTGGAGGGAAGAAGGTATTTCCTAGTAAATCTATTTGAAAGAAAGGCATGAATGTTACAACAGAAACATATACACAGAAACATGATTGATGATGACTTATGAGTGTGAACTTCAATGGTATTCTAAGGTATTTCATCTTTCAAATACATGTTAATTTCAGGTGAACATTCTAGCCATCAATCACTTTGAATCTTGTATTTGTGGCATTGCTCAGCCTGTGGATAAAACAGGTTATAGTGAGCACATACCCAAAAGGACCTTAGAGAGGTTAAAGGAATAATTTTTGTGTTAAAGCCAATCACAGAGAGAATGCTGATGACCTTTGTAATGTCTGATGGGGAAAGAGAAGCAGTAGATTCTACAAACAGCTGTGTAAAGAAAATGCTAGCTCTGTCCTATTTGTCCATTCCCTTCCACAGAAAAGGAGAAACCATCTCAAAAGATGAAATAACTAACAGAGTAAGATTGAGAGTCCTGCTACAGTATGAGCACAGTAACAGTGATCAACTCAACTCTGTTGAGCTGCAAAAACATCAGAGCACTTTCCTCTTAAGTGCAGAACCACTAGTTTTTGGTAGGTACTCAGAACTGAAGGGAATTATGGGAAGCATTATGAATTCTTTCTCAATATTTTAATAAAATAATCCCCTAATTCTGGCCCAAAATGTCTGTAGAATCTTGTATGAGGATGCATTTAATCTAATGAAGGGATGGTTATGGTTAGGGAGAGCCCTCATGATGGAAGATTAGATTGTGTGAAACACTGCTTTCCCAAATCTAAATTTATTGACAAAATAATTTGAAAACAATATGAAAAGATATGGCTTAATCAATGAAAACAGTGAAGATCTTTTCAGATTGAGAGATAAATGAACATGGAATTTACAGAGAAGAGCTTCTCTTTGTAAAGCTACAAATACCTTCAAGAATCTTATAATTGACCATTTCATTCAAAACTTACTCCTCTGAAGGGAAACCTGACGCCAAAACTCCACCAAGTACACTCCCTGACAAAGTATACTCCTTTAAGAACTGACCCTGAGTAAACCTCAAGGGAAATATCGTGCTTACCGCTGCCAGCGGTTTCTGAGGCTTCAGATGCAGTAGAAATGTTGTCTGAAAATTTCTCTTCTGTGGCATTCACATAACTGAGGCTGCCTCCTCCGATTCTATCTTCATTCTGCTCTATAGGATGTACCGCTGTTCCAAATGAGTATTTTCCATTCAGAACAGATGATGGCTCAATTACAATGGGGCTGGCATCCTAAAAATCATGAAATCAGAGGTTAAGAGGTAAAATTTAATAAGCTGACAACTATGAAGCCTTCAAACTGAATCCTAAAATATCTACTGTTCCTAATTCTCTTGTGGTTGGCTATAGTCCTTTAAAAACATTTTAATGAACTAAAATTTATTTTCTCAAAGGGGAAAAGTGTGTATAAATAACATTGGTAAGGCAGACCAGGAACAGACTGCACAGGACTCCATGCAACATAAAGTAATTTTGACTTTATTTAGATTTCATTATGTCAAAAATTGGAAACTATGGAAGCTCTTTCTTTTTTTCTTTAATCTCCTGCTTGTTTGCAGGCCTCTGTTTAAGCCATGTGTCCATTTTCTGAAGGAAAGCTTAGTTAATGCTAGATAATGTGATTTGTAATTTCAAAAAAGTGGACACATATTACGCGCAACATTTTATTTTTTTGATGATGAAAGGTGATAATTATTCTTTCTTTTTATTATTTTTATATTAATCTACAATTACATGAGGAACATTATGTTTACTAGACTCCCCCTATCACCAAGTTCCCCTAACATACCCCATTACACTCACTGTTCATCAGCATAGTAAGACGTTGTAGATTCACTATTTGTCTTCTCTGTGTTGTACAGCCCTACCTGTCCCCCGCCACATTACATATGCTAATAATAATGTCCCCC